CACCTGGACTCTGCATTTGTCTCTTCTTCAAGCTGTTATCCATACTACCTTCAGACTCATATTTCCAAAGGGTATTCTCTTGCTGTGCTCTTGCCTGGATCTCTTTACTCCCCTCTCCATGTCCACCCAATCAAGCCCATGTAGCATGATGACTTAAGGTCCTTTGGGATATGACTCCTGTTTGCCTTATTTTATCTCCTGAATATTACTTGGAATAGAGTAATTGTCCAAGCTATAGAATTGAAGTGTTTTGAATTTATAGAATTTTAATAACTATAATTTAGGAAGACCATGATTCATTATCTTACCCTTTCATTGAATCATGGGTTTCTTTCCTTACCATGAAATCATCACAGATAATTCTCTCCAGATGGCAAAATAGTCATTTCAGCATGACATGCAGATAAGGAAAAGACATCTTATATCTTATCTCTTTTTCAGTAGGGTATTTAATAGAGTGTTTCACATATCTTTAGTGGCATTAGCTAGCATCCGTATCTCTAGCAATCTTCAGTCAATACATTTTAATGAATATTTATTAAATTGTTCTCTACTTCTAAGATTTAGGAACATAAATAGATGAGCTTATTTTGCATATACTCATAGATGAGATATTTGGGGTTGAATATGACACTGACTAGATTAAAGCGACCACTTAGCAAGTGGCAACACTAGCCTAGGCACTGGCTAATGTTTCACTGCAGGACCTGATATACATTTCTACCAAAGTACACAGTACAGAGGTGGTTGGTTGGGATCTATGGGAATCTAGGTATGACCTCCAAAGGTAAAATTTATTTGAATTGCCAATTGCACCTAGACTTTGCATTTTACTTCATTATGTATTGTTATTTTTAAGAAAGCTTAATTTTTAAATGATTTCCACGTAACACTAGAAACCTTGAAGAGTAAGCCATTGCTTCTAGTACTTCTTTCATGTTTCTTATCTGCCAGGAATGATGAGCTACCAGGTTCCTTAAGCAGAGAGGTTGTGTAAAGAGTATGGAGTCTTATCACGAAGACAGATCCAACCACGAGTATGATACCTACTGGACTTTCCTCCTAAACAAGTCACCTAACTTTTCAGAGTTTAATTTTCCTCACCTGAATGAGAATAATAATTTACTTTCTTAGATTATTTTAAAGATCAGATGAAAATTGCTTAAACATCTGAAGACTCGGGCTTGGAACATGGGCAGGAAAAAAGGAATTCAGGTAGCCAGAGCTACAGTCAAATATGCCATATTGAATCACTGCATCAAAGAAACTGCTGTGGCCACCAGTGGGTCCTGGGTGTCTTACCTTAGGTAGTTGCCATCACTACCGGCCTCGAATCCAGCTTGTGGAGTATCACTGTTGCAGCCATGGGCACTGTCAGAATGAATTACTGTCCCACTAAACCACCACTCTAGCTGCCAGGAAGGCTAGGAATGCAGGGATAAGGCCTTTTTGTCTTTTATAGTAGGAGATTAACCTATGATCCCAATCATAGGCCAGCAGAGAGAAGACTCCCTCAGATTCTACAGAGGATGAAGAGGTTGGCCCATAGCATCTTTTTCTTGAACTACTGCCATGGTCTCCTAACTGGTTCCACTGCCTCCATCCTAGATCTCCTTCAATCCAGTCTCCCTTTTGGCATCATAGTTTCTCTTTCAAAGGAAAATAAAATTCTACTATTGTTCTGTTTAAAGCCTTCAAAGACACCCTTCGCTTAATGCCTAGATCAATGCAAACTCATTGGAAGACCATCCACACCCTTCCAATCAGGTGCCACACTCTTCCATACAAACCATCTTTCTGTCCAGCTGAAATGTTAGTTTTCCCAGCGGCTCAGGCTGTTTAATGCCTTTTCATCTTCCCATTTGTAAAAAGGGGAACTGTGATGGAATTTTTAAAAATTGCAAGATTTGCATATTAACTTCTTTGGAAAAGCCCAGCATTGTGGGATCTTCTCCACATGGAGGAGATGAAGGAAGCCCTTCCCCAGTTAAGGCTGAGGCCAGGAGGCCAAAGGATGGGAAGCTCCACGGCCCACGGTCGCAGGTGGCAGCATGGGCAATCTGTGGTTGGTGGAGATGACGACTGTGCCTGGCCAGAGCACAGATCCCAATGGGTAGAGGGCAGGGACCAGTGTTGGAGAGCAGCAAGCAGCCGAAGAGGCGAACTCAACTCTACCCTGTTTTCCTGGTATAGTATAATTCTGGGATGCTTGTTTTCATCCACAGAGGGAGAAAGAGAAACTCCTTGAACGAAAACAATGGAGTATTTTATCTGATGACCAAAGTGATCTCAGACCAAACAATGCTTAATTTAGAAGAGGACTAGACACATGTGCCACAGAAATCAGACGTGGCCATAACAGTGAACACTTTTGTTGTCCCTGATTGCCCAAACTCTACTGCTCAGCTTTCAAGACTCATCTTTAACATGCAGATAAAGAAAGTTGTGGAAGAACTCAGAGTAAACCGCTAAGATTTGTTAGTTCTGGGCAAGGAGAGTATGGGGGTGGGGGTAAATGAAGTTTTGTTTTATACCCTTGGCCACTATTTGATTTTTTTCACAATATTAGTGTATTCTTTTTATTATTGGATTTTTAAAAGAGGAATGGCAGTGTTTCCTTCTTTGTTATTTTCCTTTTAAAAAGACATAAAATGGGACAGGTGTTTGGCAAAGTAGTTAAGACACCCCTTAGAAAGCCCGCATCCCAAATCACAGTGCCTGAATTAGAAGCCCAATTCCAGCTTCTTGGTGATTCACATCCTGGGAGGCAACAGGTAATGGTTCATGCACCTGGGTTCCTGCCACCCACGTGGGAAGTTCGCATTGAATTCTCAGCTCCCAGCTTTGGCCTGGATCAGCCCTGGACATTGCAGACATTTGGGGAGTGAACTAGCAGATGGAAGCTCTCTGTCTGTCTTTGCCTTTCAAATAAATAAAATAAATAAAAATTTAGAAAAGACTAGAAATGGGAGTAGGAGTTTAGCTTCGCATGTGTCCCATATCTGAGTACTTGGGCTCATCCCCAGTTCTGGCTCCTGACTCCAGCTTCCTTCTGACGCAGACCCTGGGAGGCAGCACTGATGGCTCAAGTAATTGTGTTCCTGCCAGCCATGATGGTGACACAGATTAGGTTCCTAGATTCTGAGTCCTGGCTGTTGTGGGCATTTAGGGAGTGAACTAATGGTTGGGAGCTCTCTTACTTGTTTCTGTCTCTGTCTCTCTACCCCTCCAATAAGCAAGCAAACGAAAAGACTTGCAAATGCTTTGTAAGGAAGTCACAAAAGCTATATGGGAAATGTAAAAATATCTTAAGAAAGAGTGTGTGTGTGTGTGTGTGTGTGTGTGTGGTTATGGGGGGGTGCATTTGGTGCAGTGGTAGGTACTGTTTGGGACTCAGTGCTGGGGTTGGAGTCTTGGCTTCATTCCCTCCCAATTCAAACTTCCTGATAATGCATACCCTGGAATGTAGCAGGCGAGGGCTCAGGGAGTTGAGTCTTTACCATTCATGTGGGACACTTGGATTGAGTTCTTAGCTCCTGGCTTCAGCCTGGCTCAGCCCTGGCTGTTGTGGTCATTGGAGGAATGAGCCAGAGAATGGGAATGTCTGTCTGCCTATCTGTCTGTCTCTTTGACTTAATAAGTAAATAAATAAAATACGCTTTAAATGAAGGTGTAAAAAAGAATGTAATCTTTAAAAATAAATAAAAATATTAAATGGTTTTAAACAATTTCTATTATCATATGTATCAATGAGAGTTGTATCAGACATTCATCAATATATCAAAGGATAAAGTAAATAAGTAAATAAAAAGTATGTTGTATGTCTTTTCTATAGGGGTACTTGAAATCATTTGTGGGAGAATGGAATTCAAAGATCATGTGACTTTTCCACAAACACTTCAAGTACCCTTGCACATGCAAACCAAACTTTCAGCCACCAGCAATGGGCCATTAGCTGCCATGAGTTTTTCCTGCTTTGGCCTCTTCAATGTCTCCTTGCCTGTGGGACAGTGTCCAGGCTGCACAAGTGTGCACACCACATGTGCCCTGAATCGCATGCCAGTCTTTTCAAATGTGCATGACCTGACTTAATAGAAAATTAAAGACAAGTATTGCTCTTCAACAAAGAGGTAATAATTGTTGAAACACTCTTGTAGTTTCTGGTGGAGCTGGGATGAGGCTCCTGGTCTCTTGGCCATGACGTTTCCCTGTTTCTGCAACACTGCCTCATCTCTGCTGCTTTTAGACCTGTGTACCCGAGTCATAATCCATTCCCTAGGGTATTGTTCTAATGACACTGTAGATGCCACTGTCCCGTTCTCCTCTTAGCATTTCTCAATATCCTCTTCTTGTTCCTCCATAACATGAAAAAGTGAATGTTTATATTCAAATTGGAAGTATGGTGAGTGTGTGTGTGTGTGTGTGTGTGTGTGTGAAAGAGAGAGAGAGGAACTATGTCTTCCACTGCCACCACTCTGCCATTTAGTATGCAGCATACAGTAGGCAGTGGTAATTCTTTACTGAATAAATGAATGAACACCAGCTATTTATTAGGTAGACTTCTCTTGGTCACAGATCTCTTATTTAAGCTGTTTGAACAGAGAAGGAAGTTGGTTGACTCGTCTCTAGGAAATTTAGGCCTCAGCAGGTTTTAACCATGGCTGTGATGCCTTTAGATTCATTTCTTCTCTTCTCCCTCCCTCTTTCCTGTTCTTCCTCCCCTTCCCCCTTACTCTCTGTTCTCTCTCTACCCCAGCCCTCTCGTTCCTGTCTCTGTCCTTCTACCTGTCTGAAATTGAGCCTCCTCCACCTCCTCCACGTGTGGTGAAGATGGCAGCTGGGAGCTCTGGTGTCTCCTGCCCTAGTGTAGCATTCCAGGGGACAACATCCATCCATCTCAACATCAGTAGTTTAATTTCAGGAAAGGAGAGTTTTAGGATCGGCCCTAGGATCTCTGTCCTACACTACCAGTGTGGCGGAGTAAGCGTTGGGTACTGTGATTGGCAGCTTCTCCGATACCACATGGAAGGGGGTGCTGGCAAATTGAAAACAACATATGCCTGCCATAAACATTTTCATGGAGAAGTTCAGCGACAAGTAAAGGAGGGGCTGCTTTTAATGCAAAGCAACTTCCTGCCTCTTGGATGGAAGCTCCTTGGATTGAACTAGACCTTTTGAACTGTTCAAGAACATGAACTTTTAAAAGCGGGACTGCATTTTATGCCTTGAGTCCCAAGGTAATAAAGAGAAACCCCTCCACCGCCTTGCACATCTAGCTATCCAACAAGACAGAGAACTGCAAGACAATTTTTATTTTGGCTTCCAGCCACATAGAAACTCTAGAAATTTGCTTACAGATACACGGTTTCGGTGTTGGGGAGGAAGTGGGCTGCTCAGTAACCGGAACAGGATGCAGCTCCCCATTTCAAGGAGAAAAGCCTGCAGGCAGGTGGCTCTCTTTCCTGCGCATGTGGAAAAACTCAGCGTGCTCTTCAATCACCTGACTGCTAAGACGTTGAGAGTGCTGATATTTTTGGAGCCTCAATTTTTAAAGGGGGAAGTGGGCTTTCAGTTTTGAGCATTTGTTGATTTGTCCAGGTCTTGGTGTTTCAAGGTTGTTTTCTGGAAAAGAAATAATAACCAGAATTTTTTAAAAATCTTGGTATTCGTAGACATCGCTCTCTAACTCCATTGGTGCCTCTTGCTCACTGAGCTCCGGCTGAAGAAGGAGGTAAGTCAGAAGGCTGCAGACTGCCTGCAAGTTCATGAGTGGGAAACACTTAGGAGGTAGTGGACTACAAAAGATGCTCCCAAGAGTGCGCCCTCTGCTGGAGGGGTTAAACAAACCCACATCATTACAGACCTGGTATCGGGGCACTCCTGGAAATTAAGCAGTATCAGAAATCCACTGAACTTTTTTTGTTGTTATTTTATTTTAATTTGATGAGGGGAAAAGAGACTGATTCTCCATCCACTGCTTCACTCCTCAAATTACTGCAACAGCTGTGGCCAAGCCAGACCAAAGCCTGGAACTCCCTGTGTCTCCTACTTGGATGGCAGGGACCCAGATACCTGAAGCATCATCTTCTGTCTTGAGGTTGTTTTTCGCAGGTAGTTGTAACAGAAGCAGAGGTGGGTGGGACTATAACACAGGCACTGCTATGTGGGTTACAGGCACCCTAAGCAGTGCCCTAACTGCTGTGCTACAACGCACACTCTCCATGGAACTCCTGATTTGCAAACTCCCCTTCCATGTCTGCCTTGAGAAATTGCTCAGAACTTCAAAATAGATCTAGAGAATAGCTATTGGTGCTTTGTAGGAGTCAAGTGAAGACCATCTGGTTGGCCTTTATTTAAAACATATTTTCCAATTTTATTTTTTTTTAAATTTATTTACTTGAGAGGCAGAGATAGACAAAAACAGAGCTCCTTTCTGCTGGTTCACTCCCACATACCCCCTCCCACGGTTGGGGCTGGGCCAAGGGAAAGACAAGAGCCCAGAACTCAATTAAGGTCTCCCATGTGGGTGGCAGGGACCCACGTATTTGGGCCATCACAGCTGCCTGTTAGAGTGTGCATTAGCAGTAAGATGAAATCAGGAGAGGAGCTGAGATGTGGGTGTCCCGACCACTGTCTTAATGCTGGGCCAAACAGCTGCCTGTGGTTGGCCTTTTTGAAGACCCTCACCTGTGTGTTATCCAATCCAAACATGTAACACTTATGAAAGAAAGCCAGCCAGCCAGCACAGCACATATGTGGAGAACATGCATGAGAGTCCACTTTGACCGGAAACATTTTGTTCTCCAAAGCTGTGTTCCTCTTCTTTCTCAACATTAGTCCTGAATGTAAGACAATTTTTCCCCACTAAGGGTATTTAAGTATATAATCGAGAGTGGAAAATAGGGGTCATAGATCAGGTATTGGCAGTTTTTTCATTTTTATTTGTCTTTGTTCTTAATATAAATGTAGAGATATAAAACATCAACTCAAATCAAAAGGTTTTAGAGAAAAAGTTTCAGCAGTTCAACTTTGTAACAGTTATAAATAAATCTGTTAAATTTTTTCTGGCTAATGCCAACATTTGGATTTTTAAAAATAAATAAATTTCTTGTGGACAGGAACTAAATGGTGTTTGGAACATTTTTATCAAACAGTAGAATCTGTCCATACACTATTTTTCTGAGTTGTGCTGCATGCAAGTACATATTTTAAATGCTGTTGTCTTTGTGCCTTTGTAAGTTCACTGTTAACGAGCATCAAACTGTACTTCCTACCTCAAGATATTTTACTTTTACAGCCTTTCCATATTGGGATGAAATGGCTAGAAATGCAATGGTTTTTCTAAATGAATTAGAAGGGATGTGATAAAGATTGCGTTCAGATGCTCAAAAATGTAGTACTTGCATACTTAAATATTGCTGGAAATAGAATATAGAAAATATTCAACTAGTTCTTTGTTCACATTTTTAAAATTTCATAGATTGGATTTTAAGGGAAAGTAATAATAAATATTTCTGCTTTTCAAAGTTATAAGTATATATGATTAATAAGAAAAACACTGGAGGAAATGAAAATAACCTCACATCCTGTACTTCCTGACATCCTCTTTTGATTTTGTGAGGTTTCCTGTCATTATTTTTCAGTGTATTTATTTTTAAGGAAATTTCTTAGCAAGAGGAGAAAGACAAGGGCCCTATCCCTCCACACAGTGCCTTCTGTGAGTGTCAGAAATTGACTGCAGTATCATTCCATGTTTTAGCATATTGGCCTATGATGCACATCTCTCAGCTTACATGTGGATTCAGGAAGCAGCAGAGAAAAGTCCCAGCACTAAAGAGAAAGCAAGAAGTACCATGAAGAAACATGAGAGATACAGGTCATGGTTATCTTTACTTATTCTTATTAGTATGGCTGGGTACCATTACTGAACTAAATACTATTTCTCTCTCTCTCTCTCACATACACACACACACACACACACACACACTGCAAGTTTGTCATGTGCCTGTAGTTCTTAATATCAGAGTTCCTGCTGCAGATTAAGCTGTGTTTTAGGTGGTCTGACTCATTGGTGAATCATGAAATTAATTTAATGGGAAGAGATAAATTTAAATCTACAATAACATTTTGTGAGGTCAATTATATTATTCCCATTGTACACATGAGGACTAGCAGATCTGTTGAAGAAAACCAGATTGGTACAAGGTAGAACTGCATTTTGAGTCTTCCTGATTCCAAAACCTTGTCTTAACCACTAAGGCTATGCAACATCATTTAACATATCTCTTAACAGTCATGGATTTATCATATACATGTAGCCATATATAGAAGAAATTCTATCTGCTAATATATCTTATAAAGGAATACATAGGGCTTGTAGAGAATCAACAGCTTGCATTATCTTGAATCTAGGCTTTGAAATAAACTGTACACATATGCGTACATGTTTGTGCATGTGTGTGAGTTGTGGGGGGAACATCCATGAGACTCAGCACCACTAATGTACTAAAAATCACTGGGGTTCAGAATCATGAGTAGCTTCTCAGGCAAGAGAGAATTTCTTGTAAAATATCCAACAATGATATTTCATATTTACCTAGTCCTTTACAGTTGGTACGGGGCCTTCCTAGATATCACTTGACCCTCGTGTGTTCCATGGACTCGATATGTGTGGCCTTTGCACGGTACATGCTGTAAGAGTGGTGACAGCTGATAATGACTCGTTATCAACAAGAAAGTCAACACAGTCGACCACAATCCAATAGTATAAAAATGGTGCTTACAGATAATCTGCCATCCCCAGCTCTTAAAGAGGCAGCATGGTGGCTCCTATGTGTGTGACTGAGCAGCTGCATTCACAGTCTCTAAAAAAAATTAGACAAAAAACCCACAATCAATAAATTGGCTTAAGAACACCAAGAACAGTTGAGAAAACACCTTTATTTTTTAGAACTAACTAGGATGGTGTTTAATAAACACACCTGTCATTTCAGAGAACTCTCTTAGAAGCACCACACCAGGTATCTGTATTCCTATACTCTCACTCACTCTACTGTTTTTAGAAGAAAAAAAAAAGCACAGAAACACATAAACAGAGCTCTTTCCAGTGTGTGTTGGCTGCCATTTTACTCAGGTTTAAGCAGGGAGGGCTTAACGACCTTCAAACCCTGCCTTGCATGTGTGTGATGTCACATCAGTCTGCTGTGGGTTAAGGAAGGATTTTGGAGGCCAAAGTCATCCATGAAATCAATTTGGTGAATAGAGACAAACATTCTTTAAAAATGCAATAGGACCGAAGAGAAAATGTCCTGATGCATCAGAGGCAAGCCAAGGTAGGCATGTTTTCATGATGTTTTAGCCTCATATTTCTTTTTGTATCATGTGTATACTGAGGGTGGGTACTTAGTGCAGATTATAGCCAAAAAGAACTTCGAGAGCCACTGGGTGAAGTCATTATCACAAAAAGCATTTCAATAAAAATATCATTTTGCGGAGGATGTCTCAGAGCACACAGACTTTTTGTTACAGTCAGTGATAAGCAAGGGAATTCCTAGGAGGGGAGGGGTGATGTGCAAAATACAAAAGAGGGCGAAGAAGCAAAAATGCACCCAACCCAGCTATCCACAGTGGTGGTCCTGCTGTTTGATTCTGGCTGTGATTAACAAGATAAAGATAGACTTATTGGCCCCACTAGCAGGGAGAGGGTTAAAGGGGAGAGGGACAGACAGAAGAGACAGGGAGAGCAAGAGGGAAAGTGCCAGAGTGTACACAGCACGAGGCAGAGCAATGGATCATGAGGGGTTCACGTGTGAAAGACACAGAGGAGAAGAGGAGGAGAGAGCATAACTAAGAGACAAAGAGGATGAGGGCGGGCAGACAGAACCACACTACAGTAAAAAGATGCCTTCACCTACCAGTGACGCAACTAGACCTGAATGGCTGAAACAATAAAGAAAGGTACTAATTGATGCATGACTTGGCTTATGTACCAAGGGTCCACAGTTCTGTTACAAAGCTCCACAGTGTTGGCCTCAGCCTTGTTCCTCTTGTGGATACAGGATAGCTGCAGGATGGTTTGGAATATGGGATGATTGTAACAGCGAACGGGACTGTGTGCTTCCTTCTTCTAAGCCAAGGAGAAAAAGGCTGAATTCCTGTGGTTCTCTAAAGGGCAGGGGATGACTTCCCAGAAGCCCCCAGCAAAACTCTGCTTTCATCTTGTTGACCAGAAGTGAGTCGCTGGCTCACCCGAGTCTGTTCCTGACAGATGGATGACAACACCCAGACCAATCAGACTCCTCTCTGGATCTGGGACTAACCTTTCCCAAGCACGTGGCTGGATAACAGGAAAGCAGAATTGAGTTTTTATTAGGAACGAGGGAGAGGATATTTTGCCGAATTGGCAACCAACAAAATTCACTTCAAGTAAGAATTTTTCAAAAACCTTGATAACATATCCTAGTAGTTCTAGTGGATTTGATATTAAATATTTCCATCACTAAATTAGTTTCATCTTGGTAAACTAGTGTCATTTTCCTTCTCATAGGATGCCTTTGGAGATATGTAAATAAAAGCAAAGAAATCAAGTACAGAGAGCTTCTATTTTCTGTATATTATACCACAGAAAGAAATCTCAATTTTTACCCAAAAATAATATGCTGTATTCACTCCCCCAGAGACAATGCACAATGGCTGACCTCTGTTGGAACAAGCATCATAAGAGAGACCCACTAGCATTGTGTAGGGCTTCACTTCTCTCCCTGGTTTCCTCCCCCACTCAGAAGCTACACTTCAGCATTAAACTCGTGTGTACTTGCCAACTTTCTGCATCGTGACACAAAGACATTGCTGGTTAGGATCATTCTAGCCTGAAGAAAGGCAAGTGCGATGCCAGCCAGGCTTAGATGAAACACACACTGTTTGCTGAGTGGCCACGGTGTTTTGAGGGTTCCCTTTATAAAAGGGTAACAGAAAGTCAACAGCACACAGTTGCTCAGATCCGTGCTTTGGTCTCACTGCCACCACCCGCCACTAACCTACCCAGAAGAATTACAGCCTGGGTGGTGTTTGAACTATGTCCCCAGGAGAGTGTTGAGTAAGATAAAAAGCAAGCAAGGTCACCAATAAATCATTTCTGGAAACAGGGACATTTCAGGAAAATTAAACAAAGAGTAGAAAAGCCTTAGCTTGCAATCTGTTGCTGCAGAATTTGAATGATGGCTTTCCTCCCCGCTTAGACAAACACCAAGCAGGAAGCCCTGGACAGGAAAAAAATTCCATCCGGAGAGCCACAGAAGAGAATAGCTAACGAGGACGGTCATTGTTGCCTCATCGTCCGCTTAACCAAAATTGAGGCAGTTAGTCCTTTAACCCTTTCCAGTTGATCAGATCATTTTCACAAGTTCTGCGGTGGGGACCTGGCCACTCTGGGAATCGCGCTGCTGGGAACACCGGCTTTGAAAGTTATTTCACAGCACAGCTGAGTCCCCGGACAGTTTCACTAGCCTCTCTCTTGTGCCCTGGTTATCGTGTACAGGTAAATTGCTCTCCCTGGGATCTTTACTGATGGCACGGTAGATGGGAAAGCCATTTTCACAGCTCACTCCTTTATGGTTGTAAATACCTTCTGGAGTTGGAACCCTGCATTTTCCTATGTGCATGTGGTGATTTTTCTATTCGGCAAGTTTTGCCGTGGTCCTTCTTCCCTTTTATTCCAACACTTGGACGTTTGTTAATTGCTGCCGTAGCCCATCCCACAACCATGTCAGCCCAAATTTATTAGCTGAGCTTGCTGCTGGCTGCCTCCATAGCAACCGGCTGAAAATATTAAAGGACTTTCCCCATGAGCCCATACTGAACAAAAGCACATTGCCACTTCTTTCTGTTTTAACATTTGCCTACCCCAAGAGGAGCTGGACAGAATTCAGAAAACATTCATCTTCTGGAAACAGAAATCATCAGTTAGGTCAAATGCCAGGCCCTGTATCTTTAGATGCCCTAAAGTGAGATGGTCATAATCATTGCATTCTGATGAACGATCCATGGCATTCACCTTGAATAAATCACTTACCTCACTTTCCATGTAGTATGTGCTAAAATAGACATTGCTGGAATGAGAACTTCTTATAACAGGTAGGGATTCAGTGGATATTCATCTATTTGACTAAATAATTTATTGAAGATGTTTTTAATTAATTTAAAAGTTCAAAATCTCCTCGGACATTAACTAGCATTTTAAAGAAATGCTAGGCACTGATTTTTTTTTTTTTTTTTGACAGGCAGAGTGGACAGTGAGAGAGAGAGAGAGACAGAGAGAAAGGTCTTCCTTTGCCGTTGGATCACCCTCCAATGGCCGCTGCGGCCGGCGCGCTGCACTGATCCGATGGCAGGAGCCAGGTACTTATCCTGGTCTCCCATGGGGTGCAGGGCCCAAGCACTTGGGCCATCCTCCACTGCACTCCCTGGCCACAGCAGAGAGCTGGCCTGGAAGAGGGGCAACCGGGACAGAATCCAGCACCCCGACCGGGACTAGAACCCGGTATGCCGGCGCCGCAAGGTGGAGGATTAGCCTAGTGAGCCACTGCGCCGGCCTAGGCACTGATTTTCATTCTCTTCTAAGAGTCCTTCTGGCTGTTAAATCCTATGAATTTATGAGTAGATACTACTGCAGGCTCAGGAGATTCCAGATTGTTGTTTTGTTGTTTGTTGTGAAGTTTTGAAGGAATCAGTCCGACGCTGTCTGGGTGGTACAGATCTATACATAGGGCACTATGATTCCGGCATTATGTAATAATACCTTGCACACAATAGATGCTAAACAACTACTACTTGATTCTTGCCAATTTCACATTTTGTAATTACTAGTTTGGTAATTATACAAACTATATGTAGTGAAATTTTCTAATAAATGGGTCGTCTTATGGCAGTATTTAGTAGCTTGTGTGACTGCTACATGATTGTAAGGGAGTGCATTACCTTTATGCTTTGGTAGCACAGGATTTGACATTCCTGCCATCCTTCACTGGGACTCCTCACTTAATTATACATGTATATGACTCCAGGGAGTATAACAGGAATGGTCTTTGTCTTTCCTTTATACAGAAGTTAGACATTAGAAGAGCAAAAAATCATAAAATTTCTCCCCAGGAATACACCAAACCAGGCAAACAAAGAGGAAACCAATCAAGCTTTGCCCCACTTGACCTTAATTGTGCTAGTTGGGTGCACTATATTTTTTGCTGAGGCCCAGGCCCTAATCTAGTTGCACTCAGTTCCAGTGATGTCCTCTTTGTTTAACGGGAGAAAAGGCATCCTTATTACTCTCTCGGCTTTACAGGCATGGCCCTGTATCCTTTTCCTAATGGTTGCCAGCCTGCCCTGTCAGTTCTTTAACCACCTTCTGCAGCTTGCTTGCTGCCTGGGCTGTGTTTCAGACTCCTGACTTCCAGAAACATAAAAAGCACTACAGGTGCATTTAGGCTAGTTTCTCCCTGGAAACCTATCATCATTATCAGCACACAATAACAGCATCTCCCGTTATTACTATGGGCCAGCTAAGCAGTATGCTTTAAGTGGATTATCTCATTTAAACCCCAGCAATTCTGTGAGGCAAGTGCATCATTCAGTGCTTCAATTACTGAGAAAGTACATAGCAAATACATAGTTGTGGTACAGAGAATTCAACCCCTGCCTTTGATACTAGCATCCCATATCGGAACACTGGTTCAAGCCCCAGCTGCTCTGCTTCTGATCCAGCTCCTGCTAATGTTCCTGGGGAAGCAGTGGAAAACAGCCCAAGTACTTAGGGCCTCTGCCATCCATGTGAGAGACCCGTAAAGAGTTCCTGGCTCCTGGATTTGGTCTG